TATATATATATATATATATATATATATATATATAAAATTTGACCTTCCTTTTGTTCAAAAGATATACTTCAAAATTTCAAGGAGTTACTCCTTAAATATGTACACCGAAGGTGCCAAAAAAGTGTATACAGTTGACTTGTATTCATCTTTTGTTATTGGTATATATAGAATATTACAATTGTAATAGTTTTTTCCTTTCTTAAAATGTGTATACATTTTTTGGCACCCTCTGTATCTACCATTAGGTCACTTAATACTAGCTTTACTCCTTTGTTGGGGCGCGGGGCTGGCCATTTCTTCTCCCACCACTAGGGGGCAGTGTCTCTCCGGGAGAGGAGTGAGGAAGCTCTAGAACACAAGCTTTCACAGCTTATTGGGGGACTTTCAGGCCAAAGCCACCTTATTCTGATTTCCTTCTGTACTCTCCGGATTTCTGGCAGCATCCGCTTTGCTGAAAGATAGCCTTCCACCTGTTTTTATTCCTTTACTTTTAAACTATTTTACTGGATTACAATTAGTTCAAATAAAGTTAACAGATATCAATGTCTTTTATAAACAATAAAAACTCCATGCTGAGGGTAATTACCATTGTTTTATTTTTTATATTTATTAGTGGCATATTAATATTCTCTTATGTATTAATTATTAATCATCACTATTCATCCTAATATGGAACTTAAAGTTTGAAAAGAGCACAGAGAGCATTTCCTGAGTCTCTTCCTCTTTTCCTCATCACTTTTCATTCACAATTATTTGATAATTCAGGTGCGGTGTTGACATGCTAGATTACCAAGAAGCCAAATACAGCGTAATGGTTACTATTATCACATAATTGTTATTATTGTAATCATTACAGATACAGAAAAGAATCTATTCCATGTTAGTTAACATTTTAAAAGAAATGCTTTTATGGTCAAAGTGCAATGAACTGCTCTTCAGTTCACTGTTGTGGGAACTTGAATGCATCATCTTGACTGAGTCATACTAATCCCACATGTAGAAAGACAGGTGAATTATTTTGATTGCAACTAAAATGTTAAAACATGAGACAAGTTACATTTGGCCCAATTCACATTCAAATTATTAAAACAGAGACCTACCTGATTTTCTCTCTCACACACACACACACACAGAAAAACTTATTCTTGTATAATGGACCTGTCGAATCACTGAATGCACACCATGCCTGGTACAGCAGCAAGCAATGGGGTGGGCTCTCCCAGGCCACCATCAGAACTGCATTAGGTTTTGCATGTTAGAAGGCACTAGAAAACATCATGCATTGGTTTGCCTATGACGATATACAGGCTGGGTAGGCTACTTTAAGCTGATACGATGCACTCACCATAATGCGGCCAGTTGCTTGTCCTCTGGTGTGGCATTGGGGCCAGAGTGGGTCTTTAGTCTCATAGCATACCTAGAAAAAAAACACAAAGAAAGCAAAGCCAAAGAAATTAAAAAAAAAAAGCTTTCTCATTAACAACAGATCATCTTCTCTCTCTCTGCCCAATACTTAACTTTTTCATAGTGCTTGCTCATATCCTTTCTTTCTTTTTTTTTTTTTAAAGATTTTTTTGGGGAATTGGGGGAGGGAACAGCGTTCGGGAATCGGGGAAGGAGAACAGGCAAGTTGCTGTCCTTTTGTTCTTCAGTCTAGTTGTGGAGGACGTCGCTTCACTGGCCCATGTTGATATTATCATTGGGCTTTTCCCAGGTAAGCCAGATCGATCACTGGCCATTGGACGGCCACTTACGGCGGCTCTTGGCAGCTCACACTGGCTGTCGACCACTCACACTGGCTGCCAGCCACTCATAGTAGCTCATGGCAGCCCACTGCGGCTTCATTGCAGCTTCACTGTAGCCTATGCCGTCGCCGGCAACTTACGGCAGCCCAGCTCCAGGTCGAGCTGTTGTTCACCATTTTATCTGTAGAGGCAGTGTCACTGGCCCACATGTGGGATTGGAACCAGGGCCCTGCTGCTCAGAGCTGGTGTCCCAAGCCAGCTCTTAACCAACGTGTCACTCAGCCGGCCCCATAATCCTTTCTTAAAAGTTAGATGGTGATGCCCCATTTCCCTTAAGCACCATATTATTGTGATGACTAGAACAAAATGGCTTTTGTAACCATCTAGCAACTTTCTGCTCTTGAACAATACAAGTTCAAATGCAACAGAGGTAGAGAGTGATACTAGTTCAAGCATTATCCACGTATATGGTGACACATCCATTTTTACAAATTTTGATTTATGGCTGAGTGGCTGACAAGATGGAGGCAAAATTCAATCCTTCCAGGCCAACCTCCAGAAAAAATATTCATTCTTTGTACTCAGATGAATGCTTGGACTTACCTCTTTTTGATTGTGAAGAAACACTGTGTAAGCACTGACAGCAGTGTAAGTGTCCTGGGTGCATAAACTAGTGGCTTTTAGGAACTTTACTTAATCCTACTTATTTCTTGGAACCAGGGGGACTACGGCCATTTCTTTCTCCAATAATTACTAAGTTATTGCAGACTCCTGGAGAGTGCTGAGGCAGTATGTGGAAGGATCAGGGAGTCCTGGGTTCAAATCTAAGGTCAGACACTTATTAGTTATGAGAGCTTTGACAAGAAATGTCTTTAAGCCTCTATTTCCTTACTTATAAAGTAAGAGTGATACTGCTAATACCATACATTCCTGTAGTATTCACTGAGACAGTATTTGTAAAGCTTTTGGCATAGCAGGCTGGCTCCTTATAAATTGTTCAAGAAATGATACTGTTATTACACTATTTCCACAACATGCAGATTTGTAGTGTTTCTGAATGTATCTCTTTGCACAGTTTTCAACAGTGGTTGTTTTGGCTATTATAATATACAGAGAGTGCCAAAAAAATGCAAGCACGAAAACACAGTGCTTACTGATGAGCTCCACTGTTTCTGAATTTAAGAATTTAAGAAAGGAAAAAACTGTATTAAAATTGTAGTAATATAGCAGGGCTGGCTGAGTGGCTCAGCTGGTTAAGAGCTTGCTCAAGAGTGCGAGCTCTGGGCCGGCCAAGTGGTGCGACGGTTAAGAACTGGCTTGGGACACCAGAGGGCCCTGGTTCGGATCCCACATATGAGGGCCAGTGACACTGCCTTCTACAGCTAAGATGCTGAACAACAGCTCAACCTGGAGCTGGG